GAAGGATAGCTAAGGTACTACTCAATAGAAATTACAGCCTATTCTAGTGTCTTTGTTTTATTTCAGATTTAGTTTAGATTTTAATATGCATTTCCAACTTAAAACTTATTTTTGAAGTTATACTGTAATCTAAGATTCATTTTACCTTCCAAGACAGAAATCAAGTGGCAATGTGTATAAACAACACATGGCATAAAAACTACTTTTACCTACCTTTTGAGCGATCAAGACCTTTAAAAGGTTTCTTAAAATGTTTTTTGTGCTTTTTACGTTTACGTCCTTCTCAGTGCAAGCATTTTAGTGAGAAAAGGATAAAATTCAAGTTAGCAGACAAGAGGACAGAAAAGAAAATAAGAGAATTCTTCCTGACAGCAAATTCTGGTACAATTCACCTTACCTTATTCTAAACTGACCTGTAATTTCTATACAAACACTAATTCACAAACCTTCTTTAGTAAAGAATAACCTCATTTAATCTAGAAAATAACTTGGCAGGCACAATTATACTAGAATTGGAAAAATATCCATTTCTCAATGCCCTTTGTAATATTAATGGCTTCGCAATACAAAGATTCACTTTAATTTCAATGCTATCAAAATATTAGAGATGTAACAATGACAAATTATAAAACTTTCAGGGAAAGGTTTTGATAAATGTATGGCATGAACATAGGAACACAAATGAAATGAAAGGGTAGCTTGTCAACAGATGACTTCCTCTGGATGGTATGCCTCACAAGCAAATTATTTAATGACTGAAGGATATAAAAAATGTAAAAAGGGCGTACCACGTATGTGGAACTATATACACGGTGTTAGCTTAGTAATTCCTTTAAAACCTCATCCTCTTTTATTTGACACTGGCTCACATTTTGGTCTAACATCTGTCCTATGCAACTTACAAATCTTCACAATCAACTGCCTACCAGGCATCACCTCTAGTCCGAACTCCTGAGGCAGTCTAACAGCCTCTAGTCTCCATCCTCACCTCCTACTACAGGTCCTTATACACTGCCACGAGATTGATATCTTCTAAAATTCTAATCACAGCCTGTGAATCTGCTGCTCAAAATTATTCAAAGATTCTCTGCAGCCTGCCAGATAAAATGAGTTTGCGTGACACAGAAGGTCTTTTTATGATCTGACCCCTATCTCCCTGTCCTGTTCTATCTCCTGCCACTCATCCTTGCACTGGATACTACAGAAATACTATTTATACTTTCAAAAACAAAGCATACTTTCTAATGCCTAATGCCTCTAACACATGTCATTCCGTGAATTTGGGTTGCCCTCCCTGAAGTTCTTAATCAGGCAAACTCCCAGGAGGCTTCTAAATCTGAGGTCCAGCACGACTTCCAGTATGAAGCCTTTCTTCAATTCCTCTAAGCAGCTCCAGGCCCTATATCTTACCTAGAATTCCATTTAACAGTGACTACACTGTATTTGAAGTATTTGCATAATTATCTTGCCATCAGGCAGGAAGCTTCATTAGGGCAGAGATTATGCTAATATTGGGTGCAAAGCACACAGTACTTATCTGTTCAAATAATTCAAAAAATCCACATTTGAACATTATAGCACAATATATAAATTCAATGTAATATATGGAAGAATATACGTGAAAGTTAGCTTGAAATTTTTAATTTGTTCTTCCTTGATAGTTTAAAGCAAATTGTCCTGCCACTAAAAAAATTAAGAA